GAGAGAGAGAAGGGGGGGCACGTGCTACTTCGTTTCTTCTTTGCCTTTTGCCTTCCAGGAAATGTTGCAAAATGAACGCCCGACATTATGGCTCCTATGTCAACGTTACTCACGACAAGTCCGCTACGCCAAGAGCAACTGCCAAGCAGATTGAATGCTGATTGTTTCATTCATACAATGCAAAATCTGCTTTACATCAGTGGCACTCCTAGTGTTGGAGGCGACTTCTGCCAAGCAGATTGAATGCTGATTGTTTCATTCATACAATGCAAAACCTGCTTTACATCAGTGGCACTCCTAGTGTTGGAGGCGACTTCCAACAACTTCCCTGGGCAAATCATCAATGACATCATCGGAGCCCACCAAACTGAGACTCAGGCACACGCGCATGCACTTGCACACAGAGAGTAAAAACTTGGCAAGTAAGCATGGGGCATACATGCAAGATCGCTTTATCACAAACATATTCAGAGAACATAGCAAACAAAAGTCTGAATTGGAATCTTTAGCAAAAACGTCAACAAAACACTCGCCAGATAAAGAAACAAAAAAGGGTTCGGTGGTTTTCCCTTCTATTTCTTGCACGCGGATTTCTGTCTGCTCTCAGGCTCTCCTTTTTGTTTTTGTGAAAGAAGCGGCATATGATAGGGAAGTTCCTTATGCTTTTTCTTTCTTTTGTGCTTTTTAGTTTTCTGTTTTTGTGGGCGAAGCCGCAACGGGTCATCTAGTGCCTATAAATTTTCAAGTCATTTTGCTCAGCCAAATAAGAATTAAAAATCGACAAAGATGGCGGTGTCAAAACGTGCTCGCCCACGTTTGTTTTCACTTTTTACTTTTTGTTTTCACTTTAGTTCGGGGTCTAAACAATTTTATTATTTTTTGAAACTTTTTTAGTGGGTTTTGCATTATGTGAAGTACACATCTGTAAATTTTCAGGGCATTTAGCTATGCCAAAAAAAAATGAAAAATCGCCAAAGATGGCGGTGTTGAAAACGTGCTCACGCACTCACTAAATTTAATTCTTTTTTATTTTTTGTTATTTTTATTATTAGTATTTGTTTTTTGTATTTTATTTTTATTTTTTTTTATTTTTATTATTAGTATTTGTTTTTTGTATTTTATTTTTATTTCAAATTTGGTAAGGAATTTGGATGTAATGCTCCGGCAAATCTTTGTGACAGGGTGACTGATGAGAAGTGGGCTTGGTCGGTCGGTTTGTTTGTCTGTTTTTTAGCCTTTTGGTTCTTTCCTTTTCGTTGTCCTTTCGTTTCCTGGTTGGGCTTACTGTGAGGTGACTGGTGCTATCGGGCTGTGGGCCTTCTGCCAGGTAAGTATCTGGAAACCACATTAGGAGCTTCGACTCGATACATGGACGCACGTATAACGGCGACTGTGATTTGTTTGATAAGTAGGAGGCCCGACCCGGGCATACTTGTACTTTGTCTGTTTTTGGTGTGCATTTTGGTGGTGGGAACCAGGCTCTTCTTGGACCAGACGCTACCGGTTACTCAGGCCAACCCGGTTACCAGGTATCCCCTGGTACCTGGGCCCGTGGTTCCGCGGCGTATCGTTTCCCGAGCTATAGTACTTAAGACAATCTGTGGAGGTAAAAATCCTCTTTCAGGACCGACGTTTCCTTATGTCGGCATTTTCGGAAATGCTGGCACTTTAGGAGCACGGAGGAGGGTGAGAGGTGGAACGGTGTTGTGGGGTTAGATGGTGGTGAACCCCCTGAAGATGACTGCGTGGCTGCAGTCGAAACGCGTCGGGGAGCCTAATTCTGAGTATTAAAGCTTTTGAGCTTTTGAGTACTATTGTCTTCCTCAACGTTGATTACGTCAACGTGTGACTGTGTGCATCTTTGGATTGTACCTGTTTTCATCATTGCATCTGTTAAGTCACGTGTGAACTGTCTCGAACCAAGCTGAGATAAGTGAGCACGCACACCTACATAGTAGGTAACCATCGGATTTGAAGTAAGAGTTCCTTTGAGTTTTTGAACCGCTCCGGGCGTACGGAGCATGGCGAATGAAGATCGGAGAGGAGATCAGGATGGCAACAGGAGCGGAGTTGGAAATCGGGACCGTGACAGGGATCGTGATCGGTATCGTGACCAAGACCAAGAACGAGGGCGGGAACTGAGCAGCGATCGTGATCGAGACCGTGAGCGGGGGCAAAGGCGTGGACCTCCTCGATGTTTTCGGTGTAACCGAGTTGGGCACTACGCAAACCAGTGTAGCTGGTTTGATGCTCCTACGACATCCAGCGACTCCCAACGAGTAAGGTCGTCGTCACAGAGACGTGGACATCAAGGACGTTCCGATTCATCCGGCGAATCACGCCGTGCGCCTGAGATGGAGAATTTGGAACGTAACGTTGCCAGTTTGCAGGAGTATATTCAGCTAGAACGTGCGAAGAAGGAAGAGAAAGAAGCCAAGAAGAAGGCAAAGGTACTCGCCAAGCAACGTGAAGAAGAGGAGAGACTTGAGCGAGAGAGGAGCATCGCCAAGAGGATCGAGAAGGAGAAGCGTGCGGAAGTTAAGCAAATGGAACTAGCCAAGAGTGTTGACATCCAACTATCTTTGAAGATCGGTGAGTTACGAGATGAAATTCGGCAGGAACTATGCCGGGTTATTAAGGGAAAGAGCAAGGCGAAGGCGTCGACATCCAGCGATGAAGATTCGGGGAGCGATAGCGATGATGGTACGAGAGAATTGAGCATCCGTACTGGTCAACTCACGATCAATGAAAAGCGCAAGCGGGGGGAGGAACTGGTTTTTTAGGATAGACCTCCAATGGTCATCCCGCCGAAACGTACTCCCGCTAGGAGTACCGCGATGAAACCTACCAAGCTGACTCCTTGATTGAAGGTTCGCATCCCGAAGATGAAGTCATCAAGGACACGTGGCCAACTGACCTCAGCTAAGAAGATTCCGGCGAAGTGTGGAACGGTCGGGCGATACCAATACCTTGAGACCGTTCGGCGTGATCAAATTGACCACGATGTGTAGGGACGTCGGAATCGAGTATCGTGGGAAAATGCATGCGATATTTGACATCGCTGATTAGAAGGCCAGTGTGGCGTACAGATCTGAACAGGAATCTGGAGCAGCGGTGAAGGAGGCTGTTGAAGACGACGTGGATACCGACAGTGATAACGGTGGAGAAGAGGTAACTACGACTCCTAAACACGAGTAAGGGTGCGTGACTCTGCGACGTCAATACCATTTACTGTGCAATGTTCGAAGGAAGTTGAAGAGTGTTGAACCCGCGATTGAAGCAAGAGTGTTGAACCCGCGATTGAAGCAGTAGTATGACTACTCGTCGTTAAGTCGACTTTACTCGGCGGAATCAGGTGGTGCAGTAAGTTTGTGCCGAATTTGATTCGGCTGTTCGAACGTCATGGAATCTCCTTCTTGGAGAAACCATGCTGTGTGTATGCGGCAGTCTCCCTAAGTTGCAAATCGACGTATATCGGTAAGACTATTCGTAACGCTAACACTCGATGGCGTGAGCATCTTTATGCCAGCAAGAATCGAGGCCAGTCTCACTTTTATCGATGGTTAGCTAGCTTTGGCTGGGAGCAATACGTCCTAGTTCCGATTGACATAGCTAGTGCGCATGAACTGGAGGAGCTCGAGTCTTTCTATATTCGATATTTTTCTCCGTTTCTGAATTCAACTGGTGCACGAAGTAGTAAGCATATCCGTAAGAAATGTCCATTAGGACGAAGGGAACGGATTCGTAAACAGCAGGCACCGATTGTTGAAAGCTCGAGACCCCTTATTCCGGTAAGGGTTAGACGTCCTGGACAGGTCAATGAGTCACTGCACGTGCTTGAGTGTCTAAGAGAGGAGTTTGAGTTGAAGCATCATAATTTCATCCTGTCTTTTTCGGGCGGAAATGCATGGTTTGATACTTGCATGCTATCGTTAAGACTTTGGAAAGTCCACGGTACGAGTCGATGGCTGCGTCCGTGACTTGAGTCGCTGTAAGAGTGCTTTCGAAGCAGGTGGATGCTTTGAGTTCATATTTCTACGTAGATGGAAACCAGCTGGTGGACCATACAAAGGCATTCTGGTTTCGATCCTGCGTAATCCGAAGCAATTGGATTATATATGGACTTGGAAGTTGAATAATCTTTTGAAACTATATAATGTTGTCAAGGACTTCAGTCGTAATTCCACCAGGTGTTATCTTCGACATTTGCTGGGGCGTGTCTTCCATGATAAGCATGGCATTCATGTCAATTCGGATCTGGTTATTCGTATTGGGTTTGACGATCGCATTAAACTGTCTGAGGTACGGAAAGTGGTAAATGATGGGTTGATGGAGTGTCAGCTCCCCTTGTGCTTTGCCAAGCGTGCGTGTCGAAAAGTTCGCACGGTCTGGACCAAGAATCCTACCGTGGGGGACATTCTGCACAATCAGAGGACTTATGCCTCTAAAAGTGCGCTAGCCTGTAGTTGTTCAGGCTTGTCCGCTCCTAAAGAGGATGGACACGTGCGCTTCCGCTTGAGCACAGTCGAGGGTCTGCACCTGCTGATGTATAATGCCAATAACATTCCAGTCGATCGGAAGGAGAGTCGGATCATGAAGTTGCTTGAGGAAATCAAGGCTGGGTTTTCTGAATGGAAGAATTGTGGTAGTGTACCTACACTATGTGTTGAGGATTTGTCGTCCTGCTTGGTTAAGGGTGAGGATATCCCTGTTGGTTCCTTACCCCGATCTGTAGTCGACGGCTGCAAGAAGCGTCGTGATGGTCTGGTCATGACACCGCTTGACCGTAACACCGCTGAAACTCTTGTGCTTTGCCCTCAAGTCTACTACGAAGCTATGATGAACACATTTGTTCGTAACTCAGGCTATGTAGTAGTTGACCAACCTGAGTATCAAGTTTTGATGACAGTTTGGGAGGAGGCACTGCTTTTAGATTTGAGATATTTTGTCAAGTGGGACAAATCAGGGTCCATGGGTTCCTCGTATGTGCTGCCGAAGCACAAGGATCTGGATAGGTACCGCCCCATTTGCCCTACGTTCAAGGAGCCAATGGTTAGGACAGGTAGGGCTGTGCCGAAAGCATTAAACAACATGTTGTTCTGTCTAAGGAAAAATTCGCACTTTAACTTGCCAGCTGTCTCACGTCTTGCTGACAAAGTTGAAAGTTGTCAATACAAGCATTAGACGGAATCGGAAGAACTTACGAATCTCGACTTTTTCGTACGATATCAAGGATATGTTCAGTCGCCTCCCGCACGACTGTATCCTTGAAGCGGTCAACTGGTTGACTGAGATTTACCGGAAGAAAGGGTGTAAGTGAGTACGAGTGAACACGAGAGGAAGGGTGTCATCCTTTGGCCACACAACAGGTGCGGACCACTGGAGGAAACTGGACATAGACAATATCTGCAGGTTTGTACGATTGGAGCTTATGCATACATACACTCGCGCTACCGGTGTGCTGTTGAGACAGATCATGGGTATACCAATGGGCAAGAGTACTAGCCCACCATTGGCCTGCATTACGTGTGCTCATGCGGAATTCCGATTCTTATCTGGACTCGGGAGGAAGAACTGCCTGGTGTTTGGTACTCGCTTAGTCGACGATGTCTGTTTGGTTGTTGCCCACTCGTGTGACGCGGACTTAACAAGTATACAGGCGAGTTCGAGAGGTGTTACGCAGAGAACTTAACACTGAAACGGACTGATGAAGGGAACCAGGATTGGGACTTCCTGGGCTGCCAGGTTCGCGTTCGACAATTTTTTCCGTATGTGAGCTGTGTCCAATTGTCAAAAAACGAGAACTGTATCTGGTCATAAGATACATTGGAATTCAAAAAAGGACAGTCATTTTCATCATGGGGAGGAAAAAGCCAGAAAAGTGCAGCCATTGGAAGCCAGCTGCACAAAATCGAGCAGAATACCACTGTTCGGAGTGAAATCCCGGTCAGGGTCTTGACCCTTAAACGGGAATTACGTATGAAGGGTGTACCTGCTGATTTCTTCCTAAGAGTTTTGAAAAGATTTGCGTTCAGACGAGATGGTGTATGGGAAACCAAAGTCTAGCTGATTGAATCAACCCAGTATTGTGTTTGAAGCAGTGAGGGACTGGTTTACGGTGACGAGCACCGTTTGTACCATGGGTTTGTGTTGTGTGGTGTTGTTTGTTTGGTGTGTATAGTCCATAAGTGCACTGAGTAGTTTTGAAATAGTGACAGGGTGACCGATGAGAAGTGGGCTTGGTCGGTCGGTTTGTTTGTCTGTTTTTTAGCCTTTTGGTTCTTTCCTTTTCGTTGTCCTTTCGTTTCCTGGTTGGGCTTACTGTGAGGTGACTAGTCCTATCAGGCTGTGGGCGTTCTGCCAGGTAAGGATCTGGAAACCACATTAGGAGCTTCGACTCGATACGTGGACGCACGTATAACGGCGACTGTGATTTGTTTGATAAGTAGGAGGCCCAACCCGGGCATACTTGTACTTTGTCTGTTTTTGGTGTGCATTTTGGCGGTGGGAACCAGGCTCTTCCTGGACCAGACGCTACCGGCTACTCAGGCCGACCCGGTTACCAGGAATCCCCTGGTACCTGGGCCCGTGGTTCCGCGGCGTATCGTTTCCTGAGCTATAGTACTTAAGACAATCTGTCGAGGTAGAAATCCTCTTTCAGGACCGACGGTTTCCTTATGTCGGCACTTTAGGAGCACAGAGGAGGGTGAGAGGTGGAACGGTGTTGTGGGGTTAGATGGTGGTGAACCCCCTGAAGATGACTGCGTGGCGGCGGTGGAAACGCGTCGGGGAGCCTAATTCTGAGTATTAAAGCTTTTGAGTTTTTGATTACTATTGTCTTCGTCAACGTTGATTACGTCAACGTGTGACTGTGTGCATCTTTGGATTGTGCCTGTTTCCATCATTGCATCAAATCTTGTTTAATTTATTTTTCTTCATAACATTTTTTTTTTTCAGATTTTTTTTTTTTTTTTTTTGGGTCCGCGTTCGGCCCGAACGACCGAACGCATCCCCAAGGGGTCCCATACGTTCGGGCGTTCGGGTTCAGGCCTTCGGCCCGTCCCGAACGCCGGTTATCCTGTGTATATATATATACCACATCAAACTGTCCGCAACCTCCTTTATGTCGAAGATCATTCCTCTGGCACCGTAGTGCAGCAATACAATGTACAGACACTGTGTGACCTTCTCCTTTGCACAGCCACAAACACTGTTGCACTTGGGTGTACTCGCCATCATCTTTGTCACAATCACTACCACGAGATGGTTTCTGCATCCATGTGTGTACAGGATTGTCCCTCCGTTCCTGACTGCAGGCACCCTCCTCATCCGGACAC